ATAATTTTTATATATATGGGGTAGGTATATTTAAGTTTTAGCCTAGCTAATTTCAACGCGTTTTGTATTCAAGTTACATTTAACACTGAAAATATGCACAATTGGAAGATAGCTCTTTGTTGTTGTCGCATGATATTACAATTATTTAGATGTATTTTATTTTGTTTTAATTTGTTATTGTGTTCAATACACACATACACATAAATATGTATACATATATTTCTTTGTTTTGTAGACATAAAACACACATATTTAAACACGATATTCTATATGCAAACACTGAGTCGAATTTCAAAGATTTATAGAGATTTTCTTATTTTTTACAGTTTTCACTTATTCTATTCAAAATTTGTGAATAGTTCGAGTATTTGAATTGATTTCTGTTGCTGTCAAGCACTGAAGCTTTGGCCACCCAATAAATTGAATACACGACAAAGCCTCTGGACGGCACCTAAGATAATACAACAATGCAACAGCAGCAGCAGCAGGAGCAACAGGAGCAGCACTCAAAATTGATATCGACAATGAAATTTATTGATCAATCGAGAGAGCTACAAGCAGATTAAATCACGCTGTTGCATCTGCAGTCAGAGTTTATGTTGTGTTGCTTTCATGTGCCACGGTGCGTATGATTTATGCAACAGTTGCTGCTGCTGCTGCTGTTGCTGCTGCTATTGTTGGCTTTGTATTAAGTGTACAAGCTAATGCGAACAGCTCAGCTTTAAATGAAATGCAATTAAAATATTTGCATTGCACATTTGTTAGCAGGTTGCTGGCTTTAGTTGTTTGCCGAGTTCTATGTTTGCCCCATCTCGTATATATGTATATATATATACACATACTTAAACACTCAATTTGCTTGTTTAATTCAATTGATATTTGTAAATATGTTTGATCGCCTGACTCTATAGCAATAACTGTTTTCTTTGTATACATAAATATTTGTATGGCCTGCTGCTTTGTTATGTTTCATGTTTGATATGAGCATTGTTCATATATGATTCATATATATTCATTTCCATTCATTTAGTTGTTTTCCATGCGATCTCCTGTCGTTGGAGCTGGCATGCGGCTGATATTTCGTACTGGGTTTCACATGTATTTATGTACATGGGCAGTTGCTATGTACATACATATACACAGAGTTAAATGACTGACTATATATATTGACATTCAAACGGAGCGGTTTGTCAGAGCGCTAACATTTTCTATGCATAATTTATAAATCTGTTTTTTTTTTCTTTTTTATATATAATTTCTTCCTTAGAGTTCAGCATATTATTATTTCGCCTCCCGTGCGCTGGTGTGAGTGTGTGTGTGAGTTTATGTGTGTGTTTGTGTGTGTGAGTATCGCATTTGGAGAGTAGGCGCAATAAGTTTGTTATTTATATTTAGACTGCACTTTTGAGTAAGTTGTATTAGTAGTCGCCCCACACCTGTTCCAGGTTGATGAAAGAGAGAAAGAGAGAGAGAGAGACATAAAGAACACATAAGAGAATGTTAGAGTATGCCTTAGTCACAGCAAAAGCTTACAACTTAAAAATTACCAAACCAAGATGATCAACAACAAATTTTGTAACAACATAAAAGCCAAACATGAAATTTTTAGTACGCCAATGAAAAGAGCTCATGTCAGAGGATTCATTAAACTGTCACTTACCGGAAGGCCAGCCTTGCCTGCTGGACCGGAGGGTCCCGATTCACCACGCATGCCCATTGGGCCCTAAAAATGAACGGACAAACATAAGAGCTGGACTTCGAAAGGCAATGCAGAATACTTACGGGTAAGCCCATGGGTCCTTGATCGCCCTTGTGTCCCTTCTCGCCCTGTGCCGTGGATGACATATATTAGATATTACCGTTACACATAGGCACTATATGTACTTACAGGATCACCCTTGCGTCCGTCCAGGCCGCGCTCGCCCTGTGGTCCAGTGTGTCCGGGCGGGCCCATGGGGCCGGGTGGACCAGGTGGTCCGTAAAGCTGTGGAAAATATGCATGTTAAGGATTTCCCTTTACAGAGTCGAGGAGGCAGCTACTCACATATTCAATTGCCGGCATGTGTGGGGCATCGGACATTCCATCGTCCTGCCTGCGTCTCATTTTGCGGTACTAAAGCGTAGTCGATTAGTAAATATCGATAGCAACCATCGATTGTTTGTAACTTACCGAATCGCCGCGGTCACCCTTGTCGCCCTTGACGCCTGGATAGCCTGGTGGTCCGGGCAGGCCAGGGGGTCCCATCAGACCAGGTGGACCAATATCGCCGCGATCGCCCTTCTCGCCGGGCGGACCTTGGTAGCCGGGCAGACCAGGTGGGCCCTCAATGCCCGGCTCACCTGGTAGGCCGTCCAGGCCACGTGGACCCAGGGAGCCCGGCTCACCTGGCTCTCCGGGCTCACCCTTGCTGCCATCACGTCCGTCGCGGCCGTCCTTGCCCGCGGCGCCCGGTGGTCCGGGTGGGCCACGTAACAGTGTGACGGGCGGATCATCATAGTCGTCCTCCAGCTTGGCGCCGCCGGGTCCAAATAGCTGCTCAAAGCAAAGGCGGAATGCAAATGCGTTTGGGAAACAACGGGGAGATGGAAGAGAGATATGTTGGCAAATTTAGTGAGAAGATTAATTTATGCCACGTGGCGCCGCCCGAGGCGTTGCACGCGCTCGTTCCACACACCCGCACACACGCTTTGATGGCGCAACAAAAGCGACGCGTAATACGCTGCCATGATAATATAGAGTAAAAAACAAAATCAACTTCCTCTCGTCCCTTGGGGTGGTTAGGCGGCTCGTTGGTGTGTGTGTGTGGGTGTGGGTGTGTGCTGGCCGTATTGGTGGTGCGAGCTTTCGGTGGCTGCTGTGCCGCAGTGAAAGTCTTTTGTGTGTGCCTCGAAATTGTGTTAAGTGCAAGTCGGAGCCGAGTCGCAGCTCGCTCCAGAGCCGCTGACTTAGACAATGCTGGCATAGAAAAAGCCTTTAAAATCGGCGAGGGCGGCTGGCAGGGGAAGCTAGGGGCGTGGCATGGTAGTGCGTTTCGAAAATAAAGTCAAGCAGCGACGTGCTTCAAGTGCGCTGTGTGAGTGTGTGCGTTTGTGTGTGTGTGAGTGTGTGTGTTTTGTGCATTGCTCTTTGGCTCTTGCTAGGTTGAGTGCCATTGTGTGGTTGTGTGCGTGTGTGTGAGTATGTGTGTGCGCGTATTCAGGGTAAGTTCCAAAGTGAAAGATAATGAATTGGTTTTCGGGCGCTTCTCAACAATTTCGAACACTCACACATTCAAAAAGTCAATGACACAGCCAAAAAAGCCGCGTGTGCATCTGGGCAACCACAGCAGCCACCCACAATCACTCACCCACACACACACACTCACACATACGTCTAGTTGCATTTAGATCCCATTTGCAGCAGCGAAAAGTACTCAAGCGCTAAGACAATCGAATTCGAGCCGCAGCACGCCCAGCGGCAGCTACAAAGTCTATTACGCAAATGTTAAGGCCCATAAAAAAAAGAACAGCAACAATATAAACAGCTACAGCGAATGGGAAATGGAAAACGTTCACACACGTAAGAGCTAGCGCTTAGAAAAAAAAAGAAAGAAAACATTCAATAGCAATTCAAAGCTTGCAGAAAATTGAGCAACATTGTTGCTTAAAGTGCTTGGAAATATATATACAACTCTCTCTCTCTCTCTCTATACGTATTACGTATATATATTTCCCTCTTTATACTTGTATTAGAAACTTTTTAATGTCTTCGCCAAGATAATCTTCTTGGGTTAGCGCATGTAAAATAATTAAATTTTATAGCAAATTTCTTTTTTTTTTTTCGCAATGCTTTTTGTTGCCTAAGGAAGTGCCGTACTTACAGATATTAAAAGGCAACAACAATAGATTGCATAACAATGCAACCGCTTAGCACACACATGTACACACACACACACACTCACACGCATGGAGCATATGCTTAAGTGATGCTACGAAATGGCGGCCGTTCGCTCGCTTAAATGCACAAAAACAAATGAAATGGCGACGAGAAAAAGGAGACAACAGCAACAGCAACAACAAGGACGACAACAACAACAACAACAACAACAACAGCAGCAACAACTTGAACGCAAGTTGGTCGCTAGCAGGAGGCGACTGTGGCAGGAGCAACGACCATGACGCCGTCATGGCTTACCGCAAATGCAGTTGCCAGCGCACGAGTAACTTTTGCCCCTTTATGCATACTCATATAATGCGCAGCTCATCTGCATCGCACGTATGTATGTGTGCGTGTGTGTTTCCGTATGTGTGTGTGTTTGTCGACGCCCAGCTGGCACTTTGTTGCAAGTTTTACAGTTATACACAATGTTGCCAAAGACTCTGGGGTATAGAATAGCTCTCTCTCTCTCACTCTCTGCCTTGGGGCTCTACTGAATTTCCGCTTCCGCCCTTTGTTGGGCTTTCAGTGATTAGTCGTCCATTTGCTCGGCAATTAAAGCGCTTGAAATTAAAGCGCGCGCTTAACTTTTGCCCTGCGTGCGCCACTGGTGATAATGAAGGCTTATGGCACCACATTTGCCATCAGTTGGCCCATCGGCCCATCAGCCAATCTGTCAGTCAGTCAGTCAGTCAGTCGGTGAGTCGATAAACAAATGCCAGCGACAAATCAACGCCAGCAATAAAAACAGAGATGCCGAAAACGTATGGGCCAAGGATTTAAAGGCTTTAAGGAGCCGACGGCAACGGCAACGGCAGCGGCAGCTGCGATAAATAACATAAATAAAAGATACGAAGCCAAGTGAATTTGGGCAAATGTTTGTTAGCCATTCGCAAGGACGATTCTGATGGCGCAGCTGCCTAACTACGATAAAAACTTCTTCTCTGCTTTTTCGCCAGCCTCTTTCGCTCGATCTTTCTATGACTGTGTGTGTGCGTGTGTGTGTTTGCTTGTATGTGAAATCCATTAGAATGTATCAATATTTGTGCGAGCGCCTCGAGTTGATTTTAATTTCCAATGTATTCAGCAAACATAGCACACCCACACACACACCCGCTCACCCGCTCACCCACTCACCCACTCACACACACCCACACTCATACATAAATTTAATGCGTTCACATGCTGAGAGGCATTTCTGTAAATTATTCGCAAATTTGCTTTTTATTTGCCCAAACGCTTTTCAATTTCAACTTTCAACTGAAGCCGAGTGTTTTCTTTCCCTGCATACTTTCAGGCGCCGGCCGATAAGAAAATACACGCGAATTTGTTGTAATTGCAAAGTAATTGCCATCGCCGGACACCGGTCAACTGTAGTGGGTTATGGGAGTGGATATTCCCGTTACGCAACGGGAATTTCATTGAAATTTCGTAGGCAAAGGCAGACAAATGGCCGCACGTAAATGCGTTAAATTGAAAATCATTTTGATCTCGACCGCGCGACCTTTTCCTGCGACACTGACTACCGCAGCGGGGCGTGGCCAACGCCCACGTTCGTGCTCAAGTACAGCCATATGCCGCAGCCGCCAGTGCGATGTCCATGCCATCTGTCAGTTTGTGTGTGCGTGCGCGCATATTTTTCCCATTTCTGTTTTTTTTTTTCTTCTTTTTTTTTATGGCAGTTTCCTTTAGAAATTTCATACTTTTTACAGCCACGGCAACCGCAGCTAAAGCAGCAGCAGCAACAACAACAACAGCTGAACACCGCCCGAGGTGAAAGTTTTGTAGCTCGTTTCCGGCTCACACACAGAACTCCAACTCCTGCTCCCTGCTGCTACCGCCCCACCATCACGCGTCCGGAGTTGGCCCAGCCATGTAATACGTTCCACATCTTTCGCTCTTCACAAAAGTTTACAAGAATCACACAATGCCAGGGAAGTTCTTGGCAAGTGCGCGGCCACATTAAACGCGTAATATGTTCCGCTTCGCATCGACAATGGACCCAAAAGCCAAATAACAAGAATATTTATGTTGTGAGCTTTAAGGCTCTGTGAAAGCAACTTCAACTATCGATTACTGTTTCCTTTTTTTTTTCGTTTTTCATTTGCCAAAGCAGCTTCAAATCGTCTTAAAACAATTTTTAAAAACTCAAACTTTAAATATATATAAAGGAATTCACATTGAACTTGGAAAATAAATTTAAAATCATTTAATCTATACATAGTTTTACTCGAAAGAAATAAGATTGAAGTGATATAGATGGTGAATAAAATATGTTTGTGCTTTATAGAATTTAGAATGGATGTACAAATTCTGCACTTCATTATATAAATAAAAGAGAAAAAAAAAATAAATAAATAAAAAAAAATTCAAAA